CCTTATTCTATGAAGCCAGCATTACCCTGATACCTAAACAAGGTATAAATACAAAAAAAATTAAACTACAAACAAATGTCCATCATGAATGTAGATGCAGAACCATTTAACAAAATATTAGCAAATAGAATTTAACAATGTATAATGAGTATACACCATGACCAAATGGGATTTTTTCCAATGATACGAGACTGATCCAATATTCTAAAATCAATCAATTTTATCTACCATATTAACAATGTAAAGAAGAAAAGTGACATGATCATGTCAACTGTTGTGGAAAAAAGATTTTGACAAAATTCAACACTCATTTATGATTAGAAATTCTCAGAAACCAGGAATACAGGAGAACGTCCTCAACTTCATAAAGAATATTTACAAAATCCTACAGCTAACGTCATACTTAATAGTGAAAGACAGAAGGCTTTCCTCCTGAAATCAGGAACCAGGCAAGTATGTACACTCTCACCACTGCTATTCAACATATTTCCAGAGGGTCTAATCAGTGCAACAAGGCAAGAAAAATAAATAAAAGGCATATAGGTTAGAAAGGTGGAGGAAAAAAATCCCTATTTGCAGATGACACAATAGTGGTTTGCATAGAAAATCCCAAGGAATCTACCAAACGAACAAACAAAAAACATCTCCTAATGTTCAGCAAGGTCAGAGAATACATCATCATACAGAAATCAACTGTATTTCTGTATATTAGCAATGAACATGTGGAAACTGAAATTTAAAATACAACACCATTTGCAGTCACTCAAAACGAGGAATAAAACCCTCAGTTATAAATCTGAGAAATATATACAAGACTTGTACACTGAAAACTACAAAATGCTGATGAAAAACATCAAAAAGATGTAAATATATGGAGTCTTATTTTGTATTAATGGATTGGCAGACTTAACATAGTAAAGATGTTAATTTTCCTCCAATTGATATATAAGGTTATCATAATTCCTATCAAAATCACTGTGAGAGTTTTTGTAAACATAGACAAGATTATTCTAAAATTTATAAGGGAAGACAAAGGAACTAGAGTAGCTAAAACAAATACAAAAAAAGAGGAAAACAGGAAGAATCACTCCACCCAATCTCAAGATATATGACACAGATAACAGTGTCATGTTGTCAGAGGAATAGACACATAGATTAATGGAATCACATAGAGAACTCAGAAACAGTTCCACACAAATAGAGCCAACTGATTTTTGGCAATTTTTAAAGCAAATCAATGGAGAAAGTATAGTTTCTTCACCAAATGGTGCTGAAACAATTGGACATCCATAGCAAAAAATTAAAAAAGAACCTCAACCTAAATCTCAAAACTTATACCAAAATTAACTCAAAATGGATCATGGACTTCAATGTAAAATGCAAACCTTAACACATTTAGATAAAATAGAGAATATCTACAGGATCTAGGGCTAGGCAAAGAGTTTTTAGATTTGACACCAGAAGCATGATCAATAGAAGATAAAACTGATAAATTGGACGTCATCAAAATGAAAAGTGCTTGCTCTGCAAAAGCCCTTGTTATGAGGATGAAAAGAGAAACTGCAGATTGGGAGGAAACATTTGCAAACCACAGGCAATGAAAGACTAGTGTCTGGAAAATAAAAAGAATTCTCAAAACTCAACAAAAATAAAGCGAGCAATCTAATTGAAAAATGAGCAAAGGACATGAAGAGACATTTCACCAAAGAGGACATACAGGTGACAAATAAGCATGTGAAAAGATGCTCAACATCATTATCCATCCAAGAAATGCAAATTAAACCTACAGTGAAATATCACTACGCACCCATCAGGATGGCTAAAATTAAAAAATAGTTACAACACCAAATGCTGGCAAAGGACACAGGGACACTGTATCATTAATACATTGTTGATGGGAATATAAAATGATAGATCACTCTGGAAAATAATTTGATGATTTTGTAAAAAACTAAACATGCAACCTCCATGAGGTGTAGCAATTGTACTCCGGGGTATTTACTTCAGAGAAACAAAAACTTATGTTCACACAAAGAGCTGTACAATAATGTTTACAGCTTTATTCACAATAGCCCAAAACTGGAAACAACTCAGATCTCCTTCAACAAGTGAACAGTTATAAACAAGCTGTGGTACATCCACGTCATGGAATACTACTCTGCAATGAAATGGAACAACTTGGATGGATTGTGAGGGCATTATGCTGAATGAAAGAAAAAAAACCAATCTCAAAAGATCACATACTATATGATTCCACTGATATAGCATTCTCAAAATGACAAAATTTTAGAGCTGGAAAATGGATTAGCAGTGTGTTTTGTTTTGTTTCTTTGCTGAGGAAGATTCGCCCTGAGCTAACATCCATTGCCAGTCTTCCTCTGTTTCGTATGTGAGCTGCCACCACGGCATGGTCACTGAGACCGGAGGTGTAGGTCCACACCCAGACAACCGAACCCAGGCTGCCAAAGCACAGCATGCTGAACTTAACCACTAGGCCACTGGGGCTGGCCCAGATGAGTAGTTTTTATTGTTGTCAGGGATTAGGGATGATGTGTTTGGGGAGGGAAGTGATTATAAAGGAATAGCATGAGAGAGCTCTTTCTGATGATGGCATAGTACTGTATCTTGATTGTGGTGGTATAACACAAATCTATACATATGATAAAATGACTCATAACCACACACACACATTATACTAGTGTGTATTTTTGGCTTTGATATTGTATTATAATCATTTAGGATGTAACCATTAGTGCAACTGAATGAAGGGTACAGTCACCAGACTCTGCTATGCTATCTCTGTAACTACCTATGATTCTATAATTATTTCAAAGTAAAAGTTTAAAAATTAGATACTAGTACTTTGTATTCATAAATTGAAAAATGCAGGATCCTTTATTTTATAAGAAAATAAAATTTAACAGTATAATTTTGGGGGAATAAAAGAAGTAATGCCCATTATGATGCAGTGCCTGAGCTGAAATATACATTCTGGTCACATATTGAATATATAATCCTAGCTATTTGGAGTTACGGAGAATGAAGGCAAGGTATGTTCATGAAACACAGGCATAAAGGGAAATCTACTGATCCTGCCCTAATTCTAATTCTTTTGCCAGCTCTTTGAGGAAAAATGAGTAAGAATGCACAGGTGGATATTTTTAATTCATGTTAAATGTTTCATTGATTTTGTTTTGTAAAAATTTGCTTTTGAATAAATATTTATGAAATAGAAGAGAAGACCATTAGATAAACAATTGTGTAGAGAGGATGATGTCAATTTTAATAATGAATATGTTTATGTATTTATAAGTATATAAATGTGTTTTCATGTTCGTATAACATAGTACATGTTTCATCTCTCAGGAGTAATTTTGAGCCTGTACCATTCAGTCAAACTCAAGTAATGGTACTGATACTAGAGCTTTCTCTAGTCCATCTTTTGCATCTCTAATATAGCTAATGTTCCACCTTTCTTCTTGGGGACTCTTGAATGTTAAAATGGCTATTATGCACTTGGGGTAATTGAGAGAGAGAGAACTGAGTAAATTTCAGAAGAATGTCACTCTTGGTGAACAAGAAATAGGCAACCTGTTGGCTACTGTCAGAGACCTCGCCAGATAGCATGAATAGACACAATTAATTAAGCTTCTTTTCGCTAGCAACTTACAACGTACTGTTGAACGAAAGTTAACAATGTTAGGGGAAATGACTCAGTCCCTATCCTTCTCCTGGTTCTAGGGACAGTACTTTCTTAGGCACGTCAGGAAGTCTTTGATGCTGGTCTAATTGTTTATATGATACCTCCATGTGTAGTCGCATTTACTCCAGGTAACACAATCTCCTTCCCTCAACATATTTCCTCTATCCATTCCCTTCCACTAGGCTTCTTTTCCTGGTCAATCCTGGTGATGGTGTAGCCTGTCATCTCTTTTACTTTTGTTGATCTTTTATTTATAGAAGACTGTCCTGAGCTCTTCATAATTAAACTTCAGAAACACACAAAGCTCAGTTCTTACATTTTACAAGCCTTGACTTTCAAGGCTAGTGTTTCTGTCTTGAGCCTCAAAAGTCTATTTTTCAGGGTAAAATAAAAGCCAATAATTTCCTGCCTTGTTCTGTTCTGCTGTAGCATTCATCTCCCGAGGCAGCTGAGATACACAATCCTGGTGCTTGGTCTGAGGATACCTATGGGGTTCAGTAAAGGAGATGTGGGAAAGCAGAGTAACTCTTGCTTACTCAGAATGCTATCCTTTTACTTGTGCAGAGAAAAGTCTATAAAGAATTACATGAAAATATAATTACATGAAAATATAATTGTGGAGAAAATATAATTGAGAGACAATAGTTGTCTCTTGGTGAGATTTCACGACAATTTTTTTTTGTCTCTATGTTTTCTAAATTTACTCTGATATATATTGCTTTTATCTAAATATATAGCTGTTGGTTTAATATGTGTTAAGATATATGTATCATATGTATATATGATATATATATCATATGTATCATATAACAATATATTTGATACATACAAATATATTTGATATATATGTCATATTTACATATGATACATATATCTTAACACATATTAATCCAACAGCTATATATTTAGATAAAATATATATTTATATATATATGATATATATATTTATATATATGATACATAGGATGTATATATCACAAATTTTTTGCATTAATTTTCACTCTTAATGCAAGAGATTTTTACTTAGATAATATTTTCTCTAGGTTCTTCTCAAGATGCTGCCTTGCTAAAACTGCCAGAATCTTTTTCTGTCTCCTCTACAATCTTTACCAAACTGTGAAATCTAGATAGAAAGGCTTTTCTTGTGAGTAGGATTGATTTTGCTCATGTGTTTTTAGCATAAGAGGACTTTGCTGAGATTTGAAAGCAGCCTGGAGGCTTCTCTTTCACCTATTGGTTTTATTTGTTAACCTTTTACAATGAGTACATCTCCCTACCTCTCTTCCCTCTTTTCCAGGGAGTTCCTGGCCTCACATTACAGTGAAACATACTACTCCACAAAGGGAGAGGAGATCACCAGACATCCTCAGATTATGGTATCTTACGGAAACTTCCTACCTCTCTTCTCTGAAACTATTATCTTCTCGTGTGATTTTGAAACCCAATTCTAGCTTTACAAGCAGCTTCAGAAAGTGTTTCATCAGAAATAAGTCCTGCATTGACTACCATCACTGAATGACCCTAGAATAGAAAATACGACCTTCTGAACTCTAAAGGAGGCTGGTCACTGCCTAACGAGCAAATCGATGACTGTAATGTATTTTTTTTTACCAAACTGACTTCTATGTGCCCCAAATGGTGTTAAGTCTGGAGGAATGGTAAAGCAGAACACCAGAGAAATGTAAGGCACCCTGATGAGATTGTAATCAAGCTAAATGGATAAAACCTAAAGACATGAAACAATTTTAAAACCTCCATCTAATTGACCCTTATGTGAGTCACATCCCCTTGTCCAGTCCTTCTGATGCACCAACACTGAGGTCTCTCCTTCATTCTCCAAGAGTGTTCATTTATTAATAATATTATTCCAGCAGATACAGGTTCTATTTTTATAACCTTATTCCCCTTTCCAGAACATGCCCTCTGCAGCCTTCTAACCAAGGATGACATTTTTGTCTTTTACCAAAAGTATAGTTTTTAAAACCTGTTTCCTCTATTTAAGGAAGCTGTCAACAATGAAATCTAAGTCATCGTGCAATCTTTGTAAAATAGAACAGGAAGAAAACTGGGTAACATTCTTTTATTCAGGGAGTGGTGGTTGGCTTGTGAGGGTCTGAGGTACCTGGAGGACCATGGAAATTGTCACACATAGGCAGGAGTAGAACATATGGAAATGATAGAAAGAGTAATTACCTGATGGAATCACCGTGGGCAGAGCACCAAGTAGGGAGTGATAAAGATGGCAACTTGAGTGAAGCAGAGAGTCAGGAGAGAAAGGCATGAGGGGACCTGGTTGGAGAGTGAGATTAAATTTTATTGATCATCAAAAACTTTGGCTTGATTTGATAGGCAACTGGGGAAAAATTATAATTATAGCACAAGAGGGGTACTTGGGCAGAGATTTTAGGATAGATTAAAGGAGTAATATTTCTATGGAAAAGGGTCACATTTCTGAGACTGGTGTCATCAACTAATAGACCTCTAAATTTGTGAGGAAAGAATCCATATACTGTTTTACACAAAGTAACCATGCAATTAGAGTAAGAGAATTCTAAAGAAGTTTCAAAATTTCCCAAATGAAAGAATGAAATGAATGAATGCATGAATGAATATATGTAATTTGTGAGAAGGAAATACTGATATATTCTGAACAGAAAATATGTAGGTATTAATACTTATATGATATCAATATATATGCTTATATCAATAGCCTGTCATCATCTATTTTAGGATCACTGTTTTTACCAAGGATCCATCATACATGAATTAGATTCTGCTGCCAGTATGAGCACGTGTAATGGTCTGAGGTAATGCACAGTTTATCTTTCTGTTTCCTTTATGAGTTTTCCTATGGATTTTCAAAGACATTCACTTCTTTTCTTTCTTTTTAACAACGCTAGTAAATAGAAAAATAATGAAAAAAGTCTACTGCATATTATAAGTGTGAGTATCCACTCTAGCACATTGCTTATGTTCATTTTTGACAAAAAGATCTAATGCACAGCCCTCAGCAAGACACGTTTTTCAGTATATGATCAAGGGATTCAGAGTTGGAAGACAACTAGAAATCATCTAGCCTGTCCTCTCATGTTATAGATCAGAATACTGAAATCAGAGACTTGCTCCTGAACATTCAGTTTGATAATGTTGGAACTCAGTCCAAACAGTAGGCCTCCTAACTTCTAGTCTTGTGAATTCCCACCACACCACAGCACTTCACAGCCTTTTACTAAATCAGGCAGTGTTTTCAGTCTCTAGACAGTCAAACGTTGGAAGGAGACCCTATATAAGTTCTCTGTAGATTTTGGGCTCAAGGACAAAGGAGGAAGATATGGGGAGGCAAAGGGTAGAAGAACAAAAAACTTCTGTCTTTATTTATGAGGACTTTACTTGAGTAGTTCCCAGTATTTTCAAGAATGAGAACCTCTTGAATGACAAAATTACCACATAATAGTATTTGTACTTTTATATATTTACTCCACAATTAATGCATGATGGACATAAAAATTCACAAAGTTTTTGCAAGAACTCTGACACTTGCCAGGGTTCCACAGCCCCAGGTGGGAATTGCTAGTCTTACCTATCTTTCAAAGTAGAGATTGGACTGTCAAACTTCTGAAAAGCCAGATGAGTTAATTCCCACAAAAATTATTAAATCAGTCAAAGAACACATATCACCTCATCTATTTAACACTCAGAACACTGGGCTACGTGCTCGTGAGGACTAGACTTTATAGTTTCCCTTTTTTAAAAAGGCAAAGTCAATAAAATGGAACAAAGTAGTATTGCGCAGTAATGTAGTAGTAAAATGGAATACATCTTAAATATACATTGTTTCTAATTTCCACAGGGGGTTCTTCAGGGTATATGACCAAAGGTACCTCATTGAACCAATAAAATACACAGATGAGGGAGAACATTTGGTGTTCAAATATAACCCAAAGACACAGTACGCTGCCAACTATTCTTGTACAGAGCTCAATTTTACCAGGACAACTGTTCCAAAGGATAATACTAATTCTATGGAAGACTCCAAAATGGAAGTGAGTGCTTTATTTTTAAATCATTTTTACCCCAGGTAAAATGTCTCTTATTTCCTTTATGATCTTGATAGAGAGATTATGAACCCAAATAATGAAGTGTACAGGCCACCTGAGTCTGACTCTTCATTGTTTGAAATCTGAAATGTCAAACTTTTGTTTTTGTTATCTATATAGAAAGTGTTCATTCCCTGCAGTAAATTTCAGGTTGTCCTTTTGATTTCAAGGAAGGGGAATATCTATAACACTACATATAGAGCTATAGCATTAGGGCTATAAGTGGTTGGAAAGAATGAAATTTACGATGTCTTGAAACCTCTCCTAGATATTGTCTTTCCTTGTCTTCTCTGCCAGTTTTTTGGGGGAATTGTTGATGATAAGCCAGGTTCTGCCCCTTTCATCAGGCCAAATGTTCTAATTGTTAAGGACAGTTAAGAGTAATAACAAGGCCAATTTCTGGTGGGGTGATTGCACAATGAGAGTTCTATGTATTTTAGGCTTTTCTGTACAACTAGTTCATATCACCGTAAATCCCCACTAAGTGTTAGCCTTTAAGCTCCATGAGTGATCATCTTCTTCACATAACCATGGTCCAGACTGTGTCTGAAACTTATTATATGCCTAACATATGGTTTTTGATTGAATCAATCAAGCAATATATGATTACTTAGTCCACAAAAGAATGACTTAGTAAATCTTTGAACAATATATCTCTGATTTATACTCAGAGAATATGCATGTACCTCAATGCATGACACTGAAAGCTGAACACAGAATTTTCTGGTATTGATGTTTTAAATAAAAGAGCTATAAGTAGCAACTTTGATACATGTTCCCTTGGAATTAAGACTACTGCAAAGTGGGAGATTGGGAGACAGGGGGAGTAGAAGGAATACCATCAGTCGTGTTAGCCAGTCCTACACTTTAGCTGTCAACTATAGATGGGTCCTTTTTGACGTGATCTTACTTAGTAAGCATTTACTTTGTAAATGAAAGAGCTAAATGTTAAAATTGGATTCATGATTCTTTATTTATAAATCTTATTTTACCTGAAAGACTAAACAAAGAGAGGAAGGATAATCAAATACAGAATGTTGTTTCAGATTTATTAAAATATGATGTACAGGGCCACATGTTTTAATAATATAGTGGGTTTTATTTAGATAAATTCCTAGAATTATTAGATATACTTTTGTACCTCACCTTCCTGTATCAATAATATTGACATTTCTTACCTTGAATATTTTAACTTAAAATGTTAAGATGAGAAATATTAACCCATACTTCATTAAATTTTTCATAAATGTCCAGAGCATCCATAAAGAAAAGTATGTTGAACTGTTCATTGTCGCTGATGATAATGTGGTAAGTTTTCAGATGAAAATTTGCTCTTCATTCATCCTTATAAAACTATAGTTGTGATTCTAACAAAGAGAAAAAAGTATTTTAATCAGAGTTCCATTATGGAATCAATGATCTGTTTTTAGCTTCCCCAAACAGACTTATATAAGACATGACAAGGTTCTTGGTGTTACAGAAGACTAAGCCAAAATATATCCCCCTTCCCTGGTACAAACATATAGATATAATGAACAACGTATAAAAAATTTAAAATATGTTCACAATCTATAGTTGAGTTCAAAAGAAAACACAGGAAATCTCCAAGTGCTGAAAATGAGGAAGAAAATCTCTGTCAGAACAGTGAGTAAAATCAAAGGCTTGGTGATCTACAATACATAGGATATATTGCATAAAGCCCAGAAGTATAAAGGGCTGCCCCATCCCTGGAAAGGAAACTAGAAAAATTCTCTCCACGGAAACTGCAAAGAGAAAGGAAATGTTCTGTCTGCCTGCAACGATGGGCAGGGAAAATATTATGCATGGGAAAGCAAAAATTCTTAGCCTGTGTCATGCACTGATGTGGGGCATGGTATTATATTTTTCTTCAGATACACAAATGCCAAACAAAGCTTTCAACATAAAAACTGATTAGAAACTTGGTAAACTGCTAGAGCCCAAGTCAAAAATGCCGTATAAGGACACTTGCATAATTCAAGATAAAACTAGTCACATGAGGAAGAGTGAACCAACATAATGAAAAGGAGAGCAAGCTCTCCAAGAACTGTAAATCATCTACTGATATTTCAGATTATACACCTAACAACAGAGTATAAAAATATATGCAACAAAAAATAACAGGGTTACAGGGAAAGCAGTTGTTTTTTAGCTCTTCTTTATCAGAAAATTTTAAGTCGAGCAGAAGAAAAATTCAACAAAAATAGAAAAGATTTGAACCACATGTAGGTTTGATCTAATCAATAGATAGAATATCCTGCACCCACAAAATAAAAAATATATATTCTTTTCAAGTGCAAATAGAACATTTTCAAAAATTAAACTATTTGGCCACAAAGAAAGTAAAACAAAAGGAAAAAATAGATATCGTTAAAGATAACTTTTTTTTTTTCCACAACCTAATTGGAAGTTATAACAAAAATTGTTAATCTAAACCACTAAAAGATCCTTGGTTTGGAAACTAAAAGCAACATACATTTCCAAATATTAATTGACTAAAGAAATCAAATCTGAAATTATGAAATATTTGTGACAGAAAAAAGAAAAGATTACAGTATAGATAAAAAGTTTTAGATGCAGGTGGCATAAAAGTATTTAGAAGAACATTTGTAGACTTAAACATTTCCATTAAAAAGTAAGAAATAAATTTAATGAACTAAAAGTCTAGCTGGAAAAGTTAGAAAATGAAACAGAATAAATCCAAAAAAGATAGAAGGAAGAAAATAATTTTAACAATGAGTAAAATTAATAAAAGTCATAAACCAAAAAGTAACAGAGTAGATCAACAAAGCTAAATGCTAGTTCCTTGGAAAGATTAATGAAATCAGACACTTCTGACAATATTTAAGAAAAATAGAAGTACAAGTTAAATTACAAATGAAAGGAAACATAACTATAAATATGGTAGAGATTACACATCATTAAAAGATATATGTTCAACCTTGTGCCAATAAATTCGTGAGCAGAAGTACGTTGTAAAATGTTCTCAAGCTGATTCAAGAAGAAGTAGGAAACTCCAGAGATTATAGCACATTTTTAAAACTAAATAAGTAGTCCAAAATTTATCAACAAATAAAGACACTAGGCTCAGATGAGTTTAAAGATAAATTTTACCAAAATTTTTTATAACAGATAACCCTATCTTTTACAAACTGGTTTGAAGCACAGGAAAAGGGGAAAATTTCTTCACACATTTTACAAAGTTATTATAACCTTAATATTAGTTATCTACTGCTACGTAATAAACAACCCAAAACGTAGTGTGGGTCATTTATCCAGCTGCAGTAATCTGTTGGTTCCACCGGGCTGGTTGGCTTGTATAAAATGGCCTCAGTCACTTGTCTGGTATGTTATGTTGGGTTTCAGCTGGCTGCATGTGTCCAGTAGGCTAGCCTGTGCTTCTCGCATCATAGCTGGGCATCAAAACATCAAGACAGAAGCTGGGCTTTAATGTGCAAGAGCTTTTCAAGCTTCCACTTGTACTACATTTATTAATGTCTCATTAGGCAAAATAAGTCATATGGTCAAGCCTAGAATCAATCTTGGAGGGAACTACACAAGGGTGTAAATATCTAGAAGACTGATTCCTTGAGGGTCATTACTATAACAATCTAGGATGACATTGATAACAAATCTAGACAAGAAAGCAAAATTATAAACCAATTTCACTTACAAACACAACTGCAAATATCCTAAAAATATTTGCAAACCCAATCCAGCACATATTAAAAAAAAAGGTCTGCATGATGATAAAGTTTTATCTTCTATAATAAGGTGATTTTTTAAAAGCCATGTGATCATCTCAAATATCATATATGTATATATATAGCAACATTCATAATAAAACTCTTAGCAAATAAGAAATGCAAGAAAATAAAGAATATTTGTCAAAATCCTATCCTGTATAAATATTAAACTTAATAATGCAATGTTGGAGGTTTTTCCTCCAAAACTGGGAGTAAGATACATTTGTTCATTGTCAACAGACTTTTTTCAACATATTTGCTGAAATTCCTAGTGAATGTAATAAGAGAAAATAAATAAGATCTATGCTAATTGAAAAGAAAGACACAACATTGTATCACATTAAAAAAAAAAAAACAGGAGAGGGGACAGCTCGGTGGTATAGCAGTTAAGTTCACAGGCTCTGCTTCGGCAGCCCAGGGTTCACTGGTTCAGATCCTGGGCATGGACCTACACACCACTCATTAAGCCATGCTGAGGCGGCATCCTACATACAGCAGCTAGAAGGATGTACAACTATGACATACAACTCTCTACTGGGGCTTTGGGGAGAAAAAAGGAAAAAAGGAGGAAGATTGGCAACAGATGTTAGCTCAGGGCCAATCTTCTTCAAAAAAAAAATTTTTAAAAACGAGGAGAAACTACAATTGACCTATCAAATTATTTAAAAAAAAGAAATGAGTAAATTCTAGGCAGTAGATCAATAGGTAGGCTTACATTAGCATGTTGGTGAGAACATTCTTTTAACTAACTTTTAAAGAATGCTAAGATAAGCCTTTTTCTTAATAATAATTTATTAGTAAAGACCAAGAATAATTTATTAAATTTAAATTTAAATTTTAGGTATATTAAATCAGACTTTACATGCATAGTTCTCACACATGCTTCCTTAATATGGTCTTAAAATATTTAAGGGTTTCTTCTTTTAGAGAAGTTCTCATAGTAAACTATCCATTTTCATTTAACAAATAGTTAATGAACATCCAGTATGCCAGGTTCTGAGTATTAAATATATATATTCCAATATACATATATATGTTAGTTAGCAGAGCAAAGTAGAGTTAGGGTATTCTCTAAGACAGAACAGGAAAAACAAAGGCAGCTTTTGGAAAAACATGTTGAGGAGTCTACGTATCTTGAAGGCAATGTGAGTTTTAAGCAGCTGAGTAGAGTGAGGATATGGATGTGTACACCCAGAGCTAGCAAGTTGAAAGGGAAAGAACACAAATGTCTGAATCCTGGGGACACTAACTATTTACTAAAGGTTTGGAAATAAGAGTGCAAAGATTCCATACCTATGCTCTCCGTTACCCCCAGGGGTGGAAATCACTGATTGATAAAGTACTTTATTCCTATGATCCCTAAGATAGGCTCAGAATCTTTCTCAACTGTGTATTTTAGGCAAGCATCACCAATTGATCAATGGGGATTCTGGTGTGAAAACATATTTGCCATCCAGAATTTAAGGAGATGGTCAAAAAGAGAAACCTGTGCGCAGTAAAACATTGGGAGTCTATAGGGTAATAGAAACCAAGGTGATAAGAAGTTTCTTGAAAGAGAAAATAATCACTATTAAATATGAACAAGATGACCAGTAAGATGAGGAAAAAGTGTACAATGGGTTTGATAACTAAGAGGACATTTATGGGTCTATCAAGAATACTTTCAACGGAATAGCAGCTGTTAAACCAATGAGTAGTGTGGATGAAGGAGTAGGTGGGAGATGAGAATTGAAGAAATTCTAATATTATGTCTTTGAGGTATTTAGATATTTAAGACAACAGGAGAGCAGTGGAATGATAAATAGAGGATACTTGCAGGGTTCAGAAAAGGCATGTTTTTTAAAATTTTTATTATGAAAGAAACTCGACCATTTGCATTTATCCCTACAGGATACTTTATGTTATTATTAAGTGTATTTTAGCAGGTCTAAATTGATAATGCTGCGAACAAGGTCTTGAGGGCACAAATAGGGAATCCATTTGTAAGAAGAGAACAAAAGACAGAATAGGAACAGGAAAGTCTGCTTTATCTTCTTAGTCGTTCCCTAGAGAGAAGGGGGAGCCAAAATTTCCTGCCCCCTCCATCCATCTCTGGCTCCAGGGTGATCCTTGATTATATGTTCCTTAGTTTGTGACCACCATGGACAGAGGAGAGCTGATAAGGTTGCTGTTTTTCCCAACATAATGGCTGCTGTGGAGTTTTAATAAGTTTTCTCTCATCAACATGATAAATATGGATTCTAAAGAACACTGATCAGTTGGTTTAACAAAACAATGTAATATAATATAATGTAATGTGAAAAGGGGACAAAGATATAAAGAAAACCATAAAGTAGTGCTAAGCTGAAGCATGTCTTTTTTTTTTTTAATATTTTTTATTGCAGTAACATTGGTTTATAACATCGTATAAATTTCAGGTGTACATCGTTATACTTCTATTTCTGCAAAGATTACATTATGTTCACCACCCAAATACTAATTACAACCAATCACTGCACACATGTGCCGAATTATCCCTTTCACCCTCCTCCCTCCCCCCGTCCCCTCTGGTAACCACCAATCCAATCTCTGTCTTTGTGTGTTTGTTTATTGTTGTTATTATCTACTACTTAATGAAGGAAATCATACAGTATTTGACCTTCACCCTCTGACTTATTTCACTTTGCATAATACCCTCAAAGTCCATCCCTGTTGTCACAGAAGCATGTCTTTAGAAACTGCTGTATCTAGTTATTTTATGTAAAAAATGTATTTCTGCATAAGTTGCCCAGGTTTTTAGCTGATTGGAAAGAATGCTAATTTTTTTCTTTAAAATATCTCATAATGGGTAAAGTGTTTTGAGTTTTTATTCAACTCCTATTATTAATGAATTTTGATCTGATATTTATATTTCCAGTATCGCAGGAATAATCATCCTCACATTAAACTAAGGAACCGAATTTGGGGAATGGTCAATTTTGTCAACATGGTAAGATTTGATACAGTTTGAATCAAGATAAAAATACAAATGGAAAGAACCTTTTAGGATAGATATCTGCTGGATTTTTGTGGTAATCCTGATATTGAGACAGCCCAAAACACAAAAATTTACTAATGAGCAAACATGCATTGAAAAAGTCACAGCAACAAATGAACAACAGCTCTGAGTTTTTGATTTTCTAAATAAATGACATTTAATATTTAAGTAAGTTTCAAATGTTGGTCACTGATCAAAAAATTTATAAAACAATGTACAAAGAGTTGAATACCCATCATGCTTAAATTAAATCCGCTATTTTAAATCACTATTCCATGACCTTGCATAGCAAAATGATTTTAAAGCTATAATTTATTGTGCATATTTTAACACAGAAATTAGGGGAAATGTTTTGGCAAAATGCACTAAAATGATTAATTTGTCTAAAATAGAATTAAATATCAACTTTTTCTAAAAAGCAGTACTGTGAACTTTACACACCCTTATGTTGACTTCTCCTAAGTCACCCAGCTATGTTACTAGATAAAGAGGGCCTGTAAGGAATAGCCCCACTAGGTCAGTGGTTGCTCATTCACCAATTGAAGGACATTTGATGTGTTTCTAGTTTTTTACTATAATGAATACGATTTTTTTAAACATTTGTATACAGGTGTATGTGCAAACGTAAATTTTCATTTATTTTTTGTAAATGACTAACAAGTAGGAATATTTGGTCATATGGTAAGTGTATGGCTTCTTTAACTGGTTCTCACAAATTTTGATTTATATTTTTAAAAAATATTTCTAGTACCTCTTATGATTTCCTCTTTGATTCAGTGGTTAGATATGTGTGTTATTTAATTTCCAAATACTTGGGAATTTTAAATATATTTTTATGTTATTGATTTATAATTTTAATTCTATTAGAATTAGAGAATATGTTTTGTTTGATTTAAATTCTTTTAAATTTTTTAAAGTTTGTTTTATGGCTCAGAATCTGGTCTAGCAGATAATGTTCATGTGTACTTGAAAAAAAAAACAACATTCTGCTATTGCTGATCAGAGTTTTCTGTAAATATCAGTTATGTCAAGTGGGTTGATAACGTTTTTCAGGTCTTCTGTTCTTGAATGATTATCTTTCCACTTTTTCTAACAATTACTAAGATAAGAATATTGCAAATTCCAATTGTGATGGTGAATTTGTCTCTCTCTCCTTTCAGTGCTATCTGCTATTTCTTCATGTATTTTGAAGCTCTGTTGTTAGATGAAACCTCCTTTAGGATTAATTGTCTTCTTGGTGAATTGACCCTTTTTATAGTCATGTAATGTCCTTTTTTTAACCCTGAAAATATTCTTTGTTGCTAAGCCTACTTTGTGTGATATTAATATAGTCACTCCAACTTTCTTTTGATTAGTATTTGAAAAATGTATCTTTTGCTATCCTTTTACTTTTCACTTATATTATATTTATATATATTATATATATACATATATGTATATGTATAATATGTATATATTAATATATATAAATATTATATATTTATATAAATATAAATATCTTTATATTTATATTGGATTTCTTGTAGACAGTATCGTTTTCTTTTTTTTTTTTTTTTAAAGATTTTATTTATTCACTTTTTTCCCCCCAAAGCCCCAGCAGACAGTTGCATGTCATAGGTTCACATCCTTCTAGTTGCTGTACGTGGGACTCAGCCTCGCGCTGGACGGAGAAGCGGTGCCCCGGGGCGCGCCCGGGATCCGAACCCGGGCCGCCAGCATCAGAGCGCGCGCACTTAACCGCTAAGCCACGGAGCCGGCCCAGTATCGTTTTCTTTAGCAAACTTGACAATCTCTGTCTCTTAATTACTGTGTTTAGACTATTTACATTTAATATAATTATTGATATGGTTGGATCAAAATCTATCATTTTGCTAGATGTTTCCTCTTATTTCACTTTTTTTTGTTGTTCTTGAGGAAGACCAGCCCTGAGCTAACATCCAATGCCAATCCTCCTATTTTTTGCTGAGTAGGACAGGCCCTGGGTTAACATCCATGCCCATCTTCCTCTACTTTATATGGGATGCCACCACAGCATGGCCTAACAAGCGGTGTGTCAGTGTGTGCCTGGGATCCAAACCAGTGAACCCTGGGCCACTGCATCAGAGCGCGTGCACTTAACCTCTTGCACCACTGGGCCGGGCCCTGTTCTTTGTTTTTTTTAATACTTTGTTCTGCTGCTTTGGGATTATTTTTCACAACTCCATTTTATCTCCACCATTGTCTCTTTAAAAATACTTTCAGTGCTTAACCATGGATTTATAATATATATGTTTAATAAAACATAGTCTACCTTCAAATAATATCATACCATTATGCATATAGTAGAATGTAGTCCAATTTGTCTCATCCACCTTTGGTGTTAATATTTTCATCCATTTTTTAAATAGATTTTATTGATTAGAACAGTTTTGTATTTACAGAAAAATCAGGAATCATGTATCATGAACTTAGTTTCCCCTATATTTAATATTTTTGGTTTGTATGGTACATTTATAACCATTAATGAAGTAATATCGAAACATTATTATCAACTAAATTTAAATAATTCATTACATTATTAAGATTTCCTTAGTTTTTAACAAACGTCCTTTTTCTGTTTCAGAATCCCGTCTACCATACCACATTATATCTAGCTTTCATGTCTCCAAGGGCTTACCTTGACTGTGACAGTTTCTTAGACTTTCCTTATTCTTGATGACCCTAAGTTTTTAAGAGTACTGGTCAGGCATTTTGTAGAATGTCCTTGTATTGGAATTGGTCTAATTTATTTTAAAGAGCCATTTTCATCACAGTGTATTACTGTAGATGTGGATATTGATCACCTGGATGAGGTAGTGTTTGTTAGGTTTCTCTATGGCAAAGTCACTCATTTTTTATCCCTTTTCATACTTTATTATTAGGAAGAAAGTGTCTATACACAGTTCACAGTTACAGAGCGGGGAGTTATGCTTCTTCTCCTTGAAAGTACACTACCTACAAAAATTAGCTGGAATTCTTCTACACAGGAGATTTATCACTTTTCCCCCATTTATTCATTCAATCATTTATATCAGTATGGACTCACGGGTATTTTTTTTTTTTTGTATTTTGAATTGCAATCTAATATTACTTTATTTTGTTGGTCAAATTGTTTCAGCTTTGACGATTGGGCAATCTTTTAGTTAATTGGTGTGTCCCTTTAACATACTCCAGCAATGTGTGTGTGTATGTGTGTGTGTATGCGTTTCTTTTTTAGAACTTCCTTATTTTCTGGAACTATGAGATGCTCCAGGCTCATCTGGTGTATTTCCTGCCCCAGTCCTAGAATCAGCCATTTCTCCAAGAAGCCCAGGTTCTTTTATTGGAGAATGATATTAGGAAGCAAGATCCAGGCACTAGATGTCCTAGATGCTATTTGGGGTTATCAGACATTTTACTTTGATGCAACCTATGAATCCACAATACATTGCTATAATTTTTGCTTTAGAAAATAAATTGTCTTTTAGAGCAATTAAACATCAGAAAAAAGCACATATTTAATATTCATCATTATTTTATCTGTTTCCAGAGATCTTTATTGTTTTGTGTGTGTAGCTTGCATTTCCTTCTAGTATCATGTTACTTCTGTCTGAAGATTCCTTTACCATTTCTTGTAGTGCATTGCCACTACATATGAATTCTCTCAGTTTTGTTTGTCTAAAGAAATCTTTATTTCTCCTTCATTTTTTTTTTGTAAGGAAGATTAGCCCTGAGCTAACATCCATTGCCAATCCTCCTCTTTTTGCTGAGGATGATTGGCCCTGGGCTAACATCTGTGCCCATCTTCCTCTACTTTATATGGGATGCCACCACAGCATGGCTTGATAAGTGGTGCATAGATCCGCACCTGGGATCTGAACCTGTGAACCCTGGGCCCCTGAAGCAGAGTGCACAAACTTACCACTACGCCAGCAGGCCAGCCCACTCTCCTTCATTTTTTGAAAGGTATTTTTGCTAGGTATAAAATTCTGAGTTGATAGTTTTTTCTTTTGTTTTCCTTTTAGCATTTTAGAGATATTACTCCATTTTCTCTTGTCTTGAATTAGAATATTTTCTGACAAAAAGTTTTCTTTAATTCTTATCTTTATTCTCCTGTATGTGGGGTCTGTGTGTGTTTGTGTGTGCATGCATGCATGTGTTGGGTATTTATATTGCTTAGGATTCTCTGAGTTTACAGGATCTGTGATTTAATGATTTTTATTAGTTTTAAAAGTTCTTGGCCATGATCTCTTCAAATATTTCTTCTACTTTATTATCTCTCTCTCTTCTCCTTCTGGGATTCCAGTTATATGTATGTTAGACCCTGTGATTTTCCTACAGCTTTGGATTTTCTCTTTGGTGTTTCATTCTTTTAACTTTTTGTGTTTCAGTTTAGGTAATTACTATTGAACCAACTTTAGTTTTACTGATTCTTTCTTAACCTTGTTTAGCCTACAGATATGCTTATCAAATCCAATCTTTTATCTCTGCTACTATATATTTTTCTATCATTTCTATTCACTCTCTCTTAGAGTTTCCATCTCTGCTGAAATTCCTCATCTCTTCAAGCATATTTTTTACTATGTTAGATTCTTATTGCTGCACAGCAAATCACCACAAAGCTAGCAGCTTAAAACAAACATCCATTTATTATGTCACAATTTTTATAGCCCAGCAGCGTGGGTACAGCATAACTGGGGTCTCTACTCAGAATCTCACAATACTGAAATCAGAGTTGGGGTCTCAGCTTATTTATGTTGTTGGCAGCATTCAGTTCCATGCAGTTGTAACATTGAGGTCCTCAAATATTTGCTGCATTAGCTGGGGACCATCTCAGTTTCTAAAGGTGCTGACAATTCCTTGCCATGTAATCCTCTTATGGGCCCTCCTACAACGTGGTAGCCTAGTTCTTTAGGCTAGCAGGAGAATCTCTGCTGCTTCAAATTTTTCACTTTAAAGGATTAAGTTTGGTCTACCCACAATAAAGTCACTTTTGATTAACTCAGAACCCACTGATCTAGTTAAATTTGCAAAATCCTTTTACCTTTGTCATATAGCATAGCCTAATTTTAGTAGTGAAATCCATCATATTCAGAGTCCTAACCACATTGAGAGTGAGGCAATTATACCAGGTGTATTTACCAGAGGGGCAGGAATCCTTGGACACCATCTTAGAATTCTGCCTACCACATCCATATTTTCCACTAGAGCTTTAGCATATTAATAAGTATTATTTTAAATTTCCTGTAAGATAATTTCAACATTTGGATTACGTCTGAGTCTAATTTTGTTGATTCATCTCTCAAACAAGGGACTGTTTTTCCTTGCTCTGTGTGAGTTCTTTAATGTTTTATTGGATACTGAACATTATGTGTAGGATAGTAGAGATGGAGGAAATTGTATTTATGCCTGGAGATGTACACTTCTTCTCTTGATAGGCCATTAACATGTGGGATTGAATCAATCTTGTCAGAAATTGAGCTGGTTTGGGGTGTTGTTATTGCTATTGTTACCTACAGTGCATGACCAGCTTCAAATTCCTTTAGTGTCACCTTCTTTAGGGAATAGGTCTTGAACTGTTGGAGAGATTGTTCCTGCTTCACTCTTAGCTTCAGGCCTACATCAAGGGCCAGTGCTCAAAGAAGTTCTCCGTCCTCATTCTTATCTTTTCTTCAGTAGTAATCTATTTTTGTTTGTTATTCAGTGATTGCTAGCCTAAATATGGGACTCAGAGCTTCTTCTCTTGTCCTGATCTAACTTCAATCTTAGGAAAGCCCTGCCCATGTGTCTTTGGGTAGATATTTCTCAGTGTTCATGCTTCTCCTGCATTGGTAGGAGACCTCAAATGGTCTGGCCTCAGGACAGTTTCCTGCTTCCCCTCCAGGGGTAAAAGCTTTTTACTTCTCTCTTCTTTCAGCCACAATAGGTCTTCATTTGAGCTCTGGGAGTGTAAAAAAAAATTTTTGCTCAAGTTCATACAGCAGCTTAAGGCTTTTGTTCCTCAGGAGAGAAGAGTCTAGTAGGTTTGAAGATGTTCCTAAAGCATCAGTTGCTCCCATCCTTCAGGCCCCTACCACCAAGGGAGGATATCTCCAGTCTCCCACTCTGCCCTCCATCACTATTATGGGAACCCAGAGGAGGTCCGTGGAGAAAGTCTGTGCATGGGTGTGTCTCTGTCTCCCAGAGGGTCCTATGCTTTCATTTCCATTCCATAATTGCCTTTTAGCAATTTCTTAAAAATTTTTGGTGAATTCCACTTACCTGCTTGTGTGGTGTTCAGCATCTCTTTTCCTCATACTCTGCCACTGAGAGATGCTCTAGTCCCATCTCTCCTTGAAGGAGGCTGTCTTTCCTTAGATTTCAGGCTACTTGTTTGCCCTATTACCTCAACTATATTATGGTTTCAAGAAAAGATATGATTTTGTAGATTCCTTGGCTTTTTGTTTCTTTTTTTTTTTTTGTGAGGAAGATTGGCCCTGGGCTAACATCCATGCCCATCCTCCTCTATTTTGTTTGTGGGACACCATCACAGCATGGCTTGATGAGCAGTGCATAGATCCACACCCAGGATCTGAACCTGTGAACCCCGTGCCGCTGTAGCAGAGCACGTGAACTTAACCACTATGCCACTGGGCCAGCCCCTGGCTTTTTTCTTTTTGTCAGGGCAGAAGCAACATTCTTTCCAACTTTGTACATCTTAGCTAGAAGCAGAACTCCTTCCAACTTTAAATCTATGTCTATGGAAATTAAAAATTCTCCCTATGATTTTTCTGAAAGGTAAGAACAATGTGGAGTAGAATGATTGCCTCTTACAGTCACCTCTGCTTTCCCCTGTTTCTTATATCTTGCAATTGTCTTTATCAGTACGCTAACCTTGCTCCAACTATAAGACTCAATCTCTCACCTTGGGTTCCCATCTCCAAAGTAAGTGTAAATGCAAAATTATTGCACATTGTTGAACTTTTACTAAAGATTTTCAGTTTATATTGAGAGATCATACAAAAATAATTTAAAGTAACATGGTCTAAAATCCTTAACCCTTCCCATCATATCACTTCTTATTGGCCCTTTATCTTCCACAGAGCCCATATTCATTATTTCACTGCATCCTCTCTCATTTTGCTTCTATTATGTCTTCACCTCTTTTATCTCAGAAATTTCAAAGTTCTTTCTCTACTATGAAGAGCAAATAAACTTCCCACAACCTTCTAAATATGTATATCCAAACCCATCAAAGCATTCCACAGATAAAACGTGGCTTTATTTTATAGGATATTTTTTCACTAGATGAGAATATATTCATAGAATGACAAATATTGTTTCCGTTTGCACTTGTATCCAGTTTTATGAACATAGATCCTACCCATGAATGTAGAGAGTACAAAGATCCCAGGTTCAAACAATTTTTGCTCTATGGCACCCTACTCATAAGGTATATTTCACAATACAATTGGGGCCAAAATGAATGGACATCACATGCTCCAGTATAGACTTGAGATCATGATTTGACTAAAAGTCTAACTAACTTATGACAGTTTAAAAGAAGCCTAGTTCTCATAGTTATGAAATGACCTTGTTGGGTTATCATGTTAACACATGAAATTCAATATAGTCATACTATTCAGGTTAAGAAAAGTGGAAAATTAACACAAGGGTGTTGTTATAGCAGAAATATTAAACTTCTTAGTAATCAGTTACATTCTCTATTAATATTGTATGAGTGACCTCTCCATTTCTGTTCTTAACTCAGCGTTCATAGTTCATCATTCCTTCTTTCTTTTAACCTACTTTGTACTGACTGTTATGGAATATAAAATTGATATAACAGATAGTTCTTTGTCTTAATATCCTCATAATATTTGCTTAAACTCTGTCTTCTTTTGCACTGGCATCAAAGTATCTATCAACTAGGTGTTTACAAAAGAAGATGGGAATAGGGATGAGAAGGTTTATGGGCTACAACCATTTCTGCCTGCTTTGAGCAATCCCTAATAAGATTTCTTGGACAACAAGGTAGTTCCAAAAATCCAACGAGGAGAACAAACATGGCAGCTAAGCTATTGTTATTTGAAAACCAATATCAACTTTCTAATCTGTCACAGAACCAATTCATAACCAAAGTAGAGAGATGAATAAGAACATTCATTCCACTGTGTGTCACTGTCAGTAAATTCATATTTTCAGGTCAGTTATAATCTCACCACTTTACTAAATTATTTATTCTAGGCATATCCTGAGCCTAGTGCCTGTAAGGCTTATGATACTTCAAGGGGAATCACATGTTTTCAGTCAAGTTTCTTTGTTAGCCATGGCAAGTCACCCAGCATTCTGCATGATTCATCCCACATTCTCATTCAATACAATTGTTTGTAAAATGAGATCTGCACTTTTTGCTTATGTACCTCACACATTAAAATTATTATTTTTTTAGGTGTAAAAGAATATAGTAATGATGAAGGATTCTTCTGAAACTTGCCTTTGTGAAAATTATTTATCCTTTAAACAGATTTATAAAACCTTGGACATTCATGTGACGTTGGTTGGCCTGGAGATGTGGACAAATGGAGATAAAATAGAAGTAGATTCAAATATAGAAAATACCTTATTGCGTTTTTCAGCTTGGCAAGAAATAATCCTTAAAAAAAGGAAGAATTTTGATCATGTTGTATTACTCAGGTATGTAACCGCTCTATTTTCCTGCTTACCTTAGGCGGATTATAAAAAAGAAAACAAAGCAAGTGAACAACAACCAAAATAGTTTTTAAAGCAATTGACTTTTGGATGGAACAGAGGGACAAAATGTTATGTCTAGCTATACAGAAAATTTCCAAATGAACTTTTTAATAATCTTTCTTTCTAATAGTGACTAATACTAAAAAGGAAAAATCTGATATATTCATATTCCTGGGTAGGGTTGAAAATGTCATTAGGTAAGCAAAACACTTTTAGAATCTGTTTACTTCTCTTATCAGCATTCAACACTAACTCCCTTCAGCCTGCCATGCCATGCCATTCCAATACTCCACCAGAACCTACCTTTCTGGGAAAGCACCTCACTGTCTGGACATTTTTCCTCAACAAAGTGTGCTCATCCAGTGACCAGTGCTTCAAGAGCATCTTCTCTACTATTCAAGATGACAGATAACTAATCTTATAAATTAAACCTGACAAGCATTTAATATTCTTAAGTAAAGGTTTGGATTTATCTAGACTATTAGGTCATTAATTCCTAAAAGAAGGGGGGGAGGCATTTTTATCATTTTTGTTATTCAAAATACCTAGCACACTACTCAGCCTGTGGAGAAATAATAAATAATTGTAGAGCTGAATTCACTTCAACCTTGCATTTCACATAGTCCTGTTATCCTAAGAAATGTTAAGTTATGGAAGAATAACTTTGAAGCGATGGAGTTTTAGCATCTCTTCTGATGCCCTTAAAGTCACTGTATAAAAGTGGTACCCACTTTACCTACTTCATCTACCTATAATACCAGTGCTTCTCCTAAGGTCTGCAAACACAACATGCAAATATGCTTTCTAGCATCATCTAAATATTAACTTTGAGTCTGAATTCAGAACTGTGAATCTTCCAAAACCTGTAGTCAAAGGTCAGGTCCAGCCCTTTGGCAGATTGATGAGAGTGAACCAGACCTCCAAAGTAATATCATTTCTGATTTTCATGTCTGGGATGGCCCATAGCACATATCTCCATGGGGATAGTTGTACCTGGCTTGGGCTCTGATATTCATGCATGAGTATACCCGAAAATTATGGGGGGTAATATAAAATATCACCATAACTTTCATAGTGGGCAAGATTAGCCCATTTGCCTATTCCTTGGATATGTGTTTTAAAATAATAAATTAGTCTAGAAATATTTAAATGAGTATAAGTGGAAAACCTTTTACTTCCACAAATGTCTGTTATTCTGAGCAATAGCTTCTCACACCAATAGTATATCTGCAAATAGAGAAATGAGGGGAAAGTGCGGCTAAATGTCTAACTGGGCATTATATTTGGGACTTCTTATGTCTTCAGATTATTGTATGTCTTCCCTTCTGTGTTAAGTGACGAGAGACTATATATGACATTGTCATGGTGTGACCTTTGGTTTTAAGTGACCACAAGCAGAGTCAGAGTCCAGACTGTGCTTCTTCGGGTGCTTCGCCTCCATCGATGGTATTCTCCCGAGATCTCCAGCGTCTAGGAAGATCCGAATTCTAAGTTCCTCCAAGATGCATAGTCAAATCCTGAGACTTTAAAATGTAGAGACTGGAACATTTCCATAGTAGAGAAGGAAAGAGAGCATGTCTTTGATCAAAAGACCTAAAGACTGAAAAGAGTCATTCAGCCTGACCACCTCCTTGTATGTGAATCTCTGTTATACTCAAGTGTGGCCCTCCGGCCCATGGTAGCTCTCCTTAAAGTGGTCCAACTCTAAATGTTCTTGAAAGCTTATCAAATTTGGGTCTTTTTAATATGCACATCTACATCTGTCTTTTTAGGTAATCCAGGCATAGTCCTGTTTTCACACGACAACTCTTTTAAATAACTACTATAGCTATCAAATCCTCTATGAGTTTCTATGGTTGATTAAAAAGTTTTTTTAAATTTTCAACCAAAGCTAATTAATCCTGGTGTTGAATCCATTCACTATATTGCATTTCCTCTGCTGAACACTTTTTATTTATTTTTATCTTTTAAATGGTTTTATCCAAAGTTGAGTGTAGAGTAAAGTCAAGTCAAATGGGACTCTAACATTTTTTTTTGTTTTTTTTAAGAAAGTACTTTTTTAATGATTTTAACTTAAGATTGCATTGACTTTTTCAATGCCTCTAATATGCCACAGGTTTAAAATGAGCTTAATATCAACTAAAGTCATCCTCAATTCCAGAACTTCAGAAAAAAGAAAAGGTACTTTCAGGTGCAAAGGCACTAGCATCGTGGAGGTTCACTGCAATTCAATCTTTGTGTTAATTAAACTACTACCTCCAATTGAAGAGTGTATTTGCATCTTGTTTATAGTGGGAAGTGGCTCTACACACATGCGCAAGGAACTTCTTATCCAGGGGGCATGTGCCTACCCTATTATTCCTCCAGCATCGTTAAGGTGGGATGTGTTTTATTTATATTACTTAATCAAAAAGCTTGAAATAAATTTCTGCAATTTTTTGTGTCCTATTGAAAGGGACAATTCTGTCATGTATTCCTACCAAGATATGTCATGAGGAAACTGTCACATTTCCTTTACTAAATGAGACGTTTTATAAAAACTATAGATGAATAACGAAGGTAAACTAGAGTTTAAAAGAACATCATATATAATTAACATACAAATATTAGGAAAGCTTTTTTGCATATTAAATATAGTTATTTATGAGGACATGTAAAATACACAAAACTTGATGGCCAATTTAGCAACTGAAGATTATTGTTTTTCTGTTGAAAAGAAAGTGCACAGACCATTTGAAATATCACATCTGCTCAGAAATGCAATTCATTTTCAGAAAGAATAAGACCGTCAAACTGCTGACTCCCCACATTTATCTGATCCTTTCCCAAGTTACTAAGCTTCTAGTAAATGCTGTCCAAGTAATCCTATCTAAGAAATTCTTGAAAACATCAAGATTTGGATTTATTTCCTTTAGTATCTCTGCCTAGTTGTTGCTATCTCAGCCCAGTGTAGTTAGACCTAGAAATTAAAAGCTACAACTTGTTAAAATGACTACATGGCCTATTTATTATATGATTCTTTTTGTGATTATGTCTTTGTCTATGGTATTTTAATAACATAAATTTTGCATAATAGAGTCAATCTAATCTAATATAGGCTATCACTGCACCAATTATGATATTATAGCCCATCCAGGACACATTTTTAACTTCAAATGTGTAAAATGAAATTAACAAATTAGGGGGTATTTCACCTTTACGGTAATCTGATATCCCGCTCCTCTTTGGAAATTAATTTTTTCATTAATATTGAGATTAAAACACGAAATAGAGCTACAATCAGAGGTGACAATCAGCTCTGCCTTGGATTTTATATCACTGACCTTCTGGTTTTCTTCAAAGTAGAAAGTCCCTCCTCATGACTGCAAAGCTTTGTTTTGCGACGTGGGATTATACATTGAAAACATGAACCTCACATATTTTAATTTTTACCACCTTTGAATATCTGGTATATATAAGGCACTCAATAATGTTTATTTTATTGTGTAGAACAATAGTTAATAATTTTTTAGCTATTTGTAAGAATGAGTCTATGTAAATCCAACAATGACTAGTTCTGTGCCACAAAAAAGAACTTTTCAAAATGTTAGAGGTAGAGACACTCAAAAGATCACCTGTCCAACTTCATTATATAATTAAACTGAGGGGCAGGATGGGGAGGTAATTAAGTCCATGGCGTCTTGAATAAGTACTAGTTAACCAGAAGGTTGAAACCAGGTCTCAACCACTAGTTCAAGCATTATGTATTACAGTGTGCTATCTTATAGAAATTTCTAAATGCACATCTTCTTTTGGCATCAGGATCTTTTACCTGACCTAAATGTAGTTGCAAGCAGAATGGCACATCAGCTGGGGCATAACCTTGGGATGCAGCACGATGACTACCCGTGTACCTGTACTTTGGCAAGATGCGTGATGGATAGTGGTATAAGGTGAGGCTCAAGCAATATAGAGAACACATTTACATATTTGGGGAGTGGCTTTTGATTAAAAATTCGTATTGAAGGGATATATTGTTACTATGTGGCATTTTTCCCTAATGTACTCCGAGAGGTCTATTACAAAACCAGATATGGTAAGGAGTTTCCCTTTTGGAACTAAGTCTTATTGGTTGGTAGTGTCTCTCCTAGTGATATGATGAGAAAAATTCTGAAACTTCATCTGAGCATATTGCAAAAATACACGATGATCAGTTAGTAATTATACCAAGGAGCTCAGAAGAGGAATACACTCTACAAATACACTCTACATGCCTTGTTCTATCATCTTTGTTATAAACTACAATTTCCTCCTTCAAATCTTTACTCAAATATCATTCTCAGCAAAACTTTCTCCAGCTACCTGATTCAACTTTTCAATTCTGTCCCCTTACACACATGCCCTGGCATCATTCACCAACTCCCCCTTTGCCTTTTTTCCCCTCCTTAGCACTACTATCTAATGTAGTCTATGTTTTGCACATTTAGCTTATTTATTATTTTACTCCTCTACTAGAATATAAGCTTCATGAGGTCAGGGGCTTTTGTCTGCTTTGTTCACTATTACATCACCACTGTCTAGAAAAGTCCTAGACACATACTAGGTACTCCATAAACAATTACAGAATAAGTGTCCAGCATCCCGCCACCATACTGTGAATTACCTGCAGTCAAGTCCTCAGCCTTACACATCCCTGAACTCCTTCACTTAAGCATATGTGAAGGGGTTACACATAATGCATCGTATATAGTCAGAAAAGTGTTTGCTGATGATGGTCAGTGCTTTTACATATTGATTAAATGATGTAAAGTAGCGGAAGCACCCAAGCACAGTGCTTGGCACAGAGTAAGAACTAGGTAACTGATATGTAATTTTACATTATCCACGTAATTAGTAATATTTTTTCAGGGTCCCGCCATCCCAATGTAATGTATTCAGGACTCTAAAAGTCCATCGGTATCCAACCATTGTGTCAATAATAATGGCAAGGGAGTCAAAAACAAGAGGAAGATGGAAGGGAAGTGAATTTAAGATTTTTTAAACTTTCAATTCTTTTTAGAAGTATATCACATTCCTAGGATATATAAGATGTTATTAAATAAATAGTTTGTTTCAACAAATGTTTATAGAGAGCTACTCTGTGCCAGGCATTGTGTTAACTAGTGCTTATTTTTTTAAAAATTGAACACGATACAGTCCCTGCATTGAGAAGCTTGTAATCTTGCATGATAATAAACAAATGTATAGATTATTTCAAGAGAAATAAATAAAAAGTGATATGTGAGCAGCAAGCACAATCAGTCTTAAACTGTGGGGATTTTCTGGAGGATATATAGTCAGATTATTTTCACTAAAATAGCATGTGTTGGGTGTGTTTCAATAAGACATTTTCTATAATAAAAAGCCCAGTTGTTACTCTGCTATAACATTAAGACAGGAGTAAGAGAAGTAAACAGACTTTTGGAGTTCACCATTTGTATTTATTTCTAAATTCTTCACAAAACTTGCACGGCTGCTCTACTACTCTGTATTGATATGAGCGATCTTTATTTTTAACTTGTCCTACCTCTAGCGTTCCTGCACTGAAATTCAGTAAATGCAGCAGAAGCCAGTACCTGCAATACCTGAAGGACCATAAGCCAACGTGCATGTTCAATATTCCACTTTCTGATAAGTTAAGTGATTTCCCATATTGTGGAAACAAGATGCTGGATGAGGGAGAAGAGTGTGATTGTGGCCCTGTTCAGGTATTTGCAAATGATGTTGTCTTTAAATTACAAAGTTTACGCTCAGCTGTAACCTAGAAGCGATATAGCTATTACTCAACCAGAGTATTCCTTGTAAAGCTTTAAAAACTGTGCTTTCTTTTTTCTCACTGGAAAACAAGCTGTTGGAGCAGCCTCTTGCAAGGCTTCTTACCAAGTCATGAATCACATATAATGATCTTGCTGGCGGTTCGCAGTATCGCATTTGCCTGGTTTATGTGTTAATTGGCTCTTCTTATGAGAAAAGCCCATCGGTGTCATTAAATCTGATCTCTCATGCGCAGTAGGAATCTGTTCTACAGAATCCTTCACAGTCAATCAATTGAGTTTATTTCAGGGCCTTATAAGGCTAGACTATATCCTAGTTGGACAGTTCATGTTAGTAGAAAACTCAGTCTTAGTAGAGCAGAAAACTTCTAGACTTTCACATGTTTATTGCAGTCTTGGTCTCTGGAACATTTAGAGTAAACATTTGAAGCAAATTTTAAAGTAATTCTTAATCCGTTTTTCTCCAACATAGAAGCTATTTCAAGAGCTCATCATATAGGTATGAGTCCTAGACAACTACATCTCAAATCATCAAGTGTATATAAATCACTTGGGGATGTTGTTAAAATATGGATTCTGATTCAGTAGGTCTGAGCTGGGGCTGAGATCCTTCATTCCTACCAACCTGCAAGGTTATGCTGATGCTGCTGGTCCAAGGACCACATTTTTGAGTATCTACGCTCTAGACACTGCACAATTCAAAAGAAGTCTAATAAGATGGCAATTAAGAGACTCCATGATCAGAGTGGGGACAGTGACATGTCCAGAGATTACAACATCTAGTCTTCAAATGTCTCAGATTAAATGTGAGAAGAGGCTCTTAACTTTGGAAATTGGTGTTTTTTGCCCATGCACATTCTTTGGAATGGTTCTACAGTTTTATTCTAACACATGAAGTACCTCGTATGACAGGATGCAGACAATTTTTTTGCAGTGTTAATTTTGTTTGAGCAGATAGGGCCTAAGTGTCCATTCTGCTATTATTATTTAACAATGCGTTAAAAAGCCAAAGACCAATCTGAAATAGTTGGCACCTTGAGAAAAATGTAAAATCAGATCTTCAGAAGTTGTATTATTTCACATCAAACCTTTAGTATAGAGAAGCAGCAGGACCCTTCCAGAGAACAGAAGTCTTCAGGAGAACAGAAGGTCACAAACTTTGGACTTCGTATGCTGCCAGTGGGGATTCATTAGCCGTGGAGTACTGAACAGCCACACAGGAAGGAAACAAAGTAAAAGTCCCAAACACCAATTGCAAGCAATAAGCTTTATATATATATCATAGCCAAGGATCATGCATTTGTGTTTAACTCTGAAAGACAGGAAATTCTAAATTATACAGAAGCTCAACTAATTAATTCTGCCAACAGAAGCCAAACTATGAACCAATTCCTGATCTTTAATTTTTGATTACTGCCAGGAGTGCACTAATCCTTGCTGTGATGCAGACAAATGCTTGTTGAAGCCAGGATTTAGTTGTGCAGAAGGAGAATGCTGTGAATCTTGTCAGGTAAGAGCCTTTGCTAGGACCGGATTTCTCTGTTTTCAGTTTATTAAGTGTACTTATGACCAAAGAGTTGTCAGATCACTGAATGACCTTTTGTCACTAATCCCAGACTGGGGCTAGATTTTCTCACATCCAGTAGAACCTCTTCTGAGATGCTCTGACATCTAAGCACTGGGCAGTGCTATGGTCTGGGGAGTGGAGTAGTGGGTAAGCAGTGGTTGGTCTTTTAGAAGTAGAGTTATATGACTAACACTCTTTTTGCTCCTTTGTAAACCATTACCAGCATATTAACCTCAGCTGGGGGTAGGGGGGAACTGGCATCCCAACAACAGGGAACTGAAAGGGAAAAGGATTATACTGGAATTAGAAAGTGATAGTGACTAGTATATGGAGGTATAGTCCTAGGAAAGACAACCAGAAGCCCAAATGGCTTTGTCCAAGGGTTTAGTGACACTTCTTTCACCCCACACCCTAGATTGTGAACTCATGAAGGAAAGGAAGCATGTCTTATTCATTTTCAGATGCTTCCAGAATCCAGCACAATTAAATGCATATTGAATGGCTGAATAAGAGACTATTTCCATGCAGTTCCCTTGAGCAATGAAAGCCAGGGTATTTTTCTAGTTTTTATAGAGAGATCTCATTTCTTGGGGGTAGAGATCGCTCATTATAGATAGGCAGGGGTTCCAAGTTGTATAAAGGGGTGGGAGGAAAGGGAAGTACTGGAGCAAGGGATGAAGAAGACAAGACAAACAGAGCACTTGTCCGTTTCTCCATTTTGTGTCCATTCCAACGCTGTCCGATGCTCTTCCAATACCAAATTTCAAAAATACCGTCTTGTCATTCCTAAAATTACATAAAAGCCAAGGCATTTACAAGTGATAATAGTTCTCAGTAGAATGGAGAAGGAAGTCATGATCCATCCTTAAAACCTTTTTTAGGTAAATTAAATGGGTGGCCCTTCCTCCTACTTGCTGAATCTTGCCTAGCTAAATGTGTCCGGGATTCAGTCTGTTTTTCTTCAACAGATGAAAAAAGCAGGGTCTGTATGCAGACCAGCAAAAGATGAATGTGATTTTCCTGAACTGTGTACTGGCCACTCTTCTGGGTGTCCTAAGGACCAATTTCAAGTAAACGGATTTCCTTGCAAGAATGAAAAAGGCTACTGCTTCATGGGGAAATGTCCCACGCGGGATGATCAGTGCTCTGAATTGTTTGATGATGGTGAGAGACAATTACAGTGAATGACGATAAAGATAATAGCCATTATGTCTACGTCACTGTCCTGTAGGAATTTGGGGGCAAGACTGAAGATAATGCCATTCCTTGCATTCTTCCAAAATATTACCTAGCATCTCTCTGGATATTCTCTTTAATATTAAGTGATATTACCGCTAATATTCATTGACTAGCTCAGTATGTGGGTTAAGGTATCTTTGCTACATTTTTACATCCATTCTCCTTCCTAAAATATCCTTCTGAGGCAATGGGATAGTTTTTTTAATTATTTATTTATTTCTCCTATCGTGCTTCACCACTACATGATACTGAAATTTCAACTGTGTTAGAAAAGTAAGGTATTTTATGATTCATAATATTTATGCTTTCATTGGTTTACTTTTATCATACCATTTTGGATCCCAGAGTCAAAAGACAGTCCTGATATCTGCTACACGATGAATAAAAAAGGAAATAAATTTGGATACTGCAAAAACAAGGAAAATGGATTAATACCCTGTGAAGAGAAGTAAGTGCCTTGTAAAGAAAAGTAAGTGCTCTCTAAGAGCGTTTTGCAAAATCAAAACAGCTCTTATTCTGACAGCTGCTAACCTCTTTTTACTGAGGAGATAGGAAGAGAGAGAGCATACATCCCTGGCAGTGTTAACTGGCATTCATGCACTGTATGTATTAGCTGGAGGTCATGGAATATATGGAGGAAAGAAGGAAAAGATTTAAGATTCTTAGGAAAGAAAGGGAGAAAAAGAACCTGCAAAAAGAAAAAAAGGCGCAAACAGGAGGATAGGATAAATAAGTAGAAAAGGTGAAAAAAGGAAGACAGGAGGAAAGAAGTGAAGCCAAAAAAAAAAAAAAAGAAAAGTAGAAGTTGAAATTGGGAGAATGGGAGAATTGGAAGTTAGATCTGATCTTACAAAGCATGAGCTGAGACATACTCCCAGACTTGTTACTGACATTTGGCAAGGTTTTTGTGTGTCAAAAAACAGGATTGGAATTCAAAACAACAACAAAAACCTATGGTCAAGTTCAACTTTGCTACTAAATATATTAGGTGAAAATGGGCAGTCACCTAACTTTCTTACATCCAATTGCTGTCTAATCCATAAAATGGGGGTTATAGTAATAGTAATCTCATAGGTTTGTTGTGAGAATCAACTGATGTGTTCTATACAAGAAAGAATATGAAAGAAATCTTACTGTCCTGATTAAAGTTTTGCTAATTTGTACTACTAATAAGAAATATTCTTCTGTAAACTTGACCTAATATTGATTTGTGAGAATCACAGAGATATCATAAAGTAATATGATCATTTTACATCTTTATCTACTCATCTCAGTGCCCGGGGTCAGGATTTCGATGGTCCAACAGTTTACCCTGACTCTCCTGACCCTTCTGCAGCCTCCTGACAAGACTGGGAGTAGAAAAAGTGACCAGGCCACTTCACTGGCAGCCTAGTCTCTCAAGTTCTATTTCTGGTTCCGAGTCTGAGAATACTCTTCTTTTCCTTCAGAGATATCAAATGCGGCAAGATATACTGCACTGGAGGGAAGCACTCATCTCTCCTTGGAGAAGAAAAGATCTATCACCTTAGAAAAGCTCCAAAGCAGAATGTCACCGCTGAATGCAAAACCTTTTTTTTATATCACAATTCTAAAGATTTTGGCCTCGTTGCTCCTGGAACAAAATGTGGAGATGAAATGGTAAGATGAAAACCCTTCATTTTATTAAAACTTTTTGGTTCAACCACTTTAAAACATCATTGGATCCCATAATTGGTTCCATAAGGCCTATATATGGGAAAGCAGAAAAAAATCGACAATGTTTTTTTTATTGAGCAGAGTAGCAATAACACTTTAATACATATTCATTTTGCCTAATCTTTGTTATACAAAATGATATGTAAATGTTATAAATGTGCTTAATTGTTATTTTACCATAGACATCTAATGAAATTATAGGCACAATTTTTCAAATTAATTTGACTATGAAGTACCTATACATTCTTCATTTATTTTTCATTCAGACATATTTACTGGGCACATATTATGGTGCCAGTAACTGTGCTCAACACAGACGATGTAAAGATGAGTGCTCTTGAAAATTTCATGGATTAAATTAAATATATCATTACAATCCAACATAAGTGTTTTTATAGTGGTGTGACCAATGTGCATTTGAGTCCAAAGCAGAAAGTAACTGACTTTATTATAGAACATGGAATGGCACCGTATGATGCCATTAAATGAGTGTTTCATTCAGCTTTGACTTATTGAACAACATTTCTCAACACACAGAAAATTGAGAAGAGACCGTTTAGAAAGAAATACTTCCACAAGATGCAAAGGTACAAAGGATATGGCATAGTCAGTTAACTGACAATTTTAGTGTGACTGAAGCTTTGGGTGAAATGGCCAAAAAATGAAGTTGAACAGGTAGAATGAGGCCAGATTGGAAAGAGTTTATCATTTCAAGATAAAAACTTGAGAATGTGTACTAAAAACTATAGCCAGCTCATCAAAGTTTATAAACACAAGAATATATGGAAAACATATATTTTATTAAAAATTTAGCTATTTTGAAATTGAATCATTTCTCTCTGTGGATGTGACTTCCTCTCTTTCTCTATGCCACCACTCACAAATATTACTGTCATTCACATAATGTGATAGAGAAATAAATTGGAAAAGAAAAGTTGAGAATGTAAAAACAGAAATTAGAATTTAATAATTTAACAGAGACCTATATTTCAAGTCCATATACTTAACTATGCAGTTTCTCATTAAAATGACTAAATAAATATCACAATGGTGAGGAACCTCTATTTGTGAAAATTTAGGTATGTATCTAATCAGATGCTAGAAAGTTCAAGGACTTTCAATAAGATAGAGTGTATGAGGCATCAGGTTGAAGAAAACACCAAACAATTTTCTATTCACTTCAGTAAGGAAAATCAGCCAGAGGTACAAAGCAAAAGTATGACATCCCCTCCAGAGATCCCTATTAAGAGTGGCAGGGACTGAACAAAGGGGTTGATAGGGGAGTAGTTGTTAAGGAACACATCTTGATCTTATAAGTACATTGTGACCATGTGCCACCACATAGAGTGCCTATTCTTTCAAGAGAAGTCTTAGTACAGAAGCATACCAATCACAATGGTGCCAATTATTGAATCAATTCATAATGAGGAAATTCGCACATAGCAAATGACAGTCTACAGGGTATCACAAAGACACTAGTTACAGAATTTTTCATTTAATTTTTTACAATGAGATACTACTTTTAGACATGAGGAACTTAAAATGCATAAAAAGCATTCTAGTTTCTCTTAGTAGTTATTCTATCTGGGTAAATTTTAATTTGGCATAGGAAAAGAAGGCAAACATATTTCATTCCCCTGGGTGCCCTTTTTCTTAGTTATTCTACAAAATATGCAACACAGACAAGAAAAAGAAAAGAAAAGAAAAGAAAAAGAAAGAAAAGAGAAAGGAAGAGAGGAGAAGGACACTAAAGTAGAGAGGGAAGAGGAGTAGAGGAGAGGAGGGAAGGTACGGAGGAAATTAGTTAATCCATTCTCTGGCGCAGAGGAATTGCTGCAAAACTGTCTCTGTAGTTATCTCTTTATTAAACATACGAAATGGCAAAATCAAAATATGAAACCCCTCAATATTTCCCTTTAGTTGAGCCTGAAATACTTGAAGAGAGACCTACACGGGTTTTAAAACAACGTCTCCCAGTGTTTAATCCTGTATATAGAAAATCCATTCTATAAGGATAAGCAAAGAGGGTAAACAAAAACAGACATAAAAGAACTCAACAGCAGGGCCAGCCCAGTGGTGTAGTGGTTAAACTCAGCATGCTTCACTTCAGTGGCCCAGGTTTGTGGGTTCGGATCCCTGGTGTGGGCCTACACCACTCATCAAGCCATGCTGTGGAGTCATCCCACATACAAAATAGAGAAATATGGGCACAGATGTTAGCTCAGGGCCAGTCTTCCTAACCAAAAAAAAAAAAGAACTCAACAATGTGAAGAAAGGAGACCAATCTGAGGAATCATAGATGATAGTGCCCTATGAAACATATGTACATTAAAAAAGAGGAACATCCTTTAGAAAAAAGTTAAATTTATATTTTAATAATATTTAAAAAGATTGTTTCTATAAAAAAATGACATAATTTGAAAACAAGAAGCACTGTCTTCAAAGCACAAAATAAATCATGATTGCTGGCTTATATGTAATTAAGGCAGTAAATCATGGAATAGATACTATAAAAAATAACAAATTAGAAGCTAAACTTCTTAACACAGAAGATAAAGGAATTTTTTAAAAATAGAAGAAAGTGAATAAAATCTGAAAAAATAGCCCTAAGAAATCTGATACAGGTTTAATAGGAATTCTACATAAAGAAAATAGAATAGAGGTAAAAATATAGTTAAAGAAATAATAACGAAAAATGTCACTGAGCTGAGGGATGTATACAACAAAAACAGTACCAGGAAAAATTCATAGAAAGAGATGAGCATTTGGATTTACCTTCACACCATGAAGTCAACAATAAAGATAATGTTCTGTAAGCACAAAAGGCAAGTATCATCTTTCAACAGGAAAATTATCAGGTTATTATCATATTTACCTCCAACAAGAAATACTAGAAGATAATGGAGCAAAATCTAGAGAGCTTTAGAGAACAGAAGTATTGGGACCTTAAAACCATACATACAGCCAAGTTATTATTCAGACATTAAATCAATAGAATGACACCCTCATATACCTTATGACTAAGAAAATACACAGTAAACTAGATAGCATTTATTTTCTGGAGAGAAAAATAGTCAAGAAAGTACTCCAGCAAACTGGGAAATGAATTTAAATTAAAAAGTTAAAATGAGAAGATAAGATATTAAAGAAATACTTGAAGCAACAAAATCTATAATACTTTAGAGTAAATTCTAGTTTTTTATTACTAATATATTTATTATGAGAATTTAAAAAAAATCTTGATTAGTGAATAATAGCAATTTTTACAAATCTAAAAATCTCAATTTCCTCAAACAAAAAGGATGGAGAAGAAGAAAGAAATAAAAATGTGACAAATGTTTTATCTTACAGAAGGAAGAGTTAATGCTTATTTGGTCTTGAAAATAATGGAATGATTTAGATTCAAATATTTTAATGTAAACTGAATCAATGTTTAGAAAATAAAACATATAGCTTTCAAATTAAAAAATATAATTGTGGAAAAAAGTGATAAATATAAAAAAGGTAACTTAAAATGTCTAACATTAGAAATCATATAATAAGATGAAAGAAGTAGGATTAAACACATCACAACAAATATGGATTAAAATTTCCCTATTTCAAATTTTAAAATAATCTATGAATTCATGGCAAAAAAGAATTTCCAGGGAGTGACATCAGCAAGGTGGTGGAATAAGAGGTCCCCTACTCATATTTGCCACAGCCACAATAATTTGACAGCCAAATATGGAAAAATTACCTTTGTAGGATCTTTGAAATCCAGGCAGGATCTTGCAAAACCCAGGTGGAGCCCACGACCAAAGAGGTCCAATTTGAGAAAGTAGCCCCATGCCTCAATGGCAGGCTTATTGATCATAGTCCTGGATGCATACCCAGAAATAGCCCTCTTCCCTTGTTGACTTGGTTAGAGCCCCATTTGACCTTGGTCCTGCCGCCAAAACATCTGCTGGGCCACCCACCGGAAGACACACCCATCCATACCCCTGGAGGCAGACCTGCAGGTCTTGGTGCAACTGTGAATCTTGAAGTGGTTCTGTAACTCAGTTCCAGTCCTTCCCAGCACAGTCCTGGAGCAGTCCTGCCTGCCCAGGGAATCACCAGGATACACACCTGTGCATGCTCCCAGAGGCAGGCCTGCTGATCTTGGTCCTGGCAGTGAACATGAAGTAGTTGCAGCCCTGCTAAGCCAGTGTATACGGTCAGTTCTGCCCACCTAGAGACCTTCCCAGTGACCCAGCAGGAGCCCTTCCAAGGATCTAACAAGAGAATACCCATCCAGGCACCTTATAACAAGTCTGCCATCTGTGGACTCAACTGCAGACCCTGTAGTAGACCCTTGTTACAGTGCCAGTTCACTTGGCCAATGTCCTGGAGGCAGTCCTGTCCACCCAGGGCTCAGGCAGAATCCATGTCTGCTCAAGCCCTTAGTCAGATGCCAGCAAACCACAGACCAGATAGCAGTCACATAACCTGGGTCCAGTCCCACTTCAACTGCAATCCTGGAGGCAATTCCATCAGCCTGGGGATCCAACAGGAGGCTTTTACTTGACAAAACAGTCTGTAAAAGCTGGAAGAGATGTCTGCTCCTTGAAATGCACAGACAACAACACAAGGCTACACGGATCATGAATATTCAACAAACATGATACCAACAAAGGAAACTAACAAAGCTCCGTCAACTGACCCCAAAGAAATGGAGATCTAAGATTTGACTGAAAAAGAATGTAAAATAATTACCTTAAAGGAGCACAATAAGATGCAAAAAAACACAGACAGATGATTAAATGAAATCAGGAAAGCAATGCATGAACAAAATAAGTTTAATAAAGAAATAGAAATCATAAAAAGGAACCAAACAGAAATTCTGGAGCTAAAAAAATACAATAACAGAAATGAGAAATTCAATAGAAAGCTTTGACAGTAGACTAGATCATTCATAAGAA